GCACCTTAAATTTGACACAGGTGGCCAAATGGGATGTGCTGAGGTTAGACACCATGTCAAATTGTCTTGTGCAGCTTTGTCACCATACACTGAGCTCATTGCTATTAATGGTGTTTTTTTAAAAAAAATATTTATGTACAAATGCTGTTTAATGAAAATTCCTTAAATTCCAACCTCATACGTAACTCAAGTTTTCAATTCTGTGAAATTTCTTGTTTTTTAGTTACTAATTTTCCTTCCTTTTGCATGTCTTGGCTCTGCTCAGTCTTCAGATGAATGGATGATAAAATTCAGAATTACCATGGTTCTCAATCTTTCCATTGACAGTCTTCCTTTTCTTTCTTTCCTCCCCTCCCCTCCCCTCTCTCTTTCTTTTCTTTCTTTCCTTCCTTCCTTCTTTCCTTCCTTTTTTCTTATTCTTTCTGCAAATTCAAGCCTTGAGAGACCTTTTCCGTGGTAACCCTAACATAGCTGGGTTACCTTGTGGCTTAATAGGTTCAATGACACATCAAGTAAAATGCAAATGCAGTTCCAGAAACCTTGCTGAGTAACACACAACTTCCCTGTACGTTTTCTTGAAGAGATGGTGCAGGAGTTGAACCAGAATATTCTAGAATTCCTCTTCACCTGCCCATTGCTCCTCAGGCTTTCAGGTAGCTACTCACAACCTCTGCTCTGCGTCTGCTCACTGTCACCTCATTTCTGACCCCTGATCTCCGTGCTCTGCACAGCCCTCTGGAAAACAGAGTTTGCTCAACACTCCGATTATTGTTCTTGTCTTGAGAAATTTTAGGAAAAAAGATTATCCATCCTGACATATTACTAAGAATTTTTCATTTCTCCATCATCAATTCTCCCATTCAAAAGTGATAGAGCTTATGTCATAACCACAAGCTAACCAGAGTGAGCTCTTCCAGGCCCAAGTACAGAAGCTCAATAGTTTAGTTTGCTTTTCATCTTTTTTGTTTTTTGGAGGCAGTAGGGGAGGTCATTAGGTTTATTTATTTATTCATTCATTCATTCATTCCAATGGAGGTACTGGGGATTGAACCCAGGACCTCATGCATGCTAAGCACACACTCTACCACTGAGCTATCCCCTCCCCGCTGCTTTTGCATCTTTACACCAGGGCAGTAATGACCCATCCTCTATGGACATATTGTATCGCTATGCAGTCTGACCTCTGAATAGAACCTATGGAGATGCTAATAGTAGAGGTTTAAAAGAAGTAACATCACACGGAGTCTAAAACTGTTTTCCTGGTTATGACAAATTTTCTCGAAGTTCTGCCCACTCCAAGATGGCACTGAGGTGCCTTCCACTGAGTGCAGCTTGAAAGAGAAAAACATCATTCAAAGTAGGAAGCAGTGGTGATGACTCATTTTCTGCGGCTGAACGAGGCATCATCAAACACAGGCCCGAAACTGCCTCAATGTCCCGTGTGAGAATTTCATCTTATCAAGAGTATGGAACCTAAGAAAATACTCTGCCCTACTTACTAGTAGCAATATATAATAAATAGCACTAAGCACAGTAACAGCATGGGTGAACGGCAACTCGCACCAATTCGCATCCCTTAGAGGCGGGGACCATCCTGTAAGAAAGCCCAAAATCCTTACGGGCATTTCACATGCTTGACATCTAACGATGAGCCCATGGGGATAAAATGAAAAAGCTTAAGAATGAAAAGAGAAATTAAGGAAAACCCACAAACACCCATCATTTCTTTAGAAATGAACAAACACCACCCAAAGGGAAACGATTTAAGGAGTAACACAACTGAAATCCACAGGCTTTCCATACAAGTGTTGGTCTCCAGTACAAAAGGGATCCACTTGGGAAAATATTCTGTAGTTTACCCAGACAGGTCTAGGTCTCTTTCTCCCCATCTCTCTCAGAGCTCTCCTGGCCATCTGCTACGGAAGGACTAGTAAGGGTATCTTTCTAACAGACTTGGGGAGCTTTGAGAGGATTAAAATTCCAATTTCATTCCACAGACATTTATTAAGCACTAATTATGTGCAACACCTGTGGCAGGCATTATAGGGAGATTAGGAGGAGCAAGATGCAGCCTTTACTTCAAGGAGCTTTCAGTCTATTAGGCGGGATGACAAAAACTCAGAAAGTGTATAAAAGCAAAGTGCACGAAAAGCCATAAAAGTAGAGACAGTCTGTCAGAGTAGAGGTAACGGGAGTTCCAAGGAAGAAGTGAAAGGAAATGCTTAGTTCTGGAGGACCTTGCCTGGGACAGGAAGTGAGCCACGCAATTCATTCTCAAAACTGTTCTGCAGATGTGGAGTAGGTGTTTCTGTTGTGGGGGTTGTTTTTGTGCTTTATAGATGAAGAGAAAGGGGCTTGGCTAGGAAGAGTCAAACTTAGATATCCTGGGCTCCAAGACTATTTTCCTCTAATCACATCCTGCTAGTTCTCAGAAGAGATGCCATTAGCTGGGGTGGGAGAAGCATGCAAACTGTTCATGGAAGCATCATCTTTGGCAGGGAGGCCTTGAAAGCCCAATGCCATGCCAGGCAGAGATGGGTGGCAGGCACCGTGTTCCCAGTGGGGAGAGGAGCACGCAGAGGAGCAGATTAGCCAGAATGAACACAGTGTATCCAGATCCAGCTTGTCTGGAGTGCAAAATAGGAGGAGGGATGTAGCTGGAGCAAAGGGCAGAACACGCTCAGAGAAGGAATCTGTTCTTAATTCAGATAAGAACAGGAGACAATCAAACAGAGGCGCATTATAAACATAGTTACATTTTAGAACAATTAATCTGGGAACAACGTATGCCTAGAGCCAATGCCAACCCTACGTTACTCTTGTGAGAATCGGACAAGAGAACCTCTCTGAGAAAACGCAGCCCCAAGGGTGGATGCCATGGTAAATTCGTAGAGACTCTGTAAGAGCTCATCAAGGTGGCCCTGCCTAGTACCCATATACTATGAAAAACTTGTACAACCATAAGGGAGAAGCCCAGTGTTCCTTAAACTTGAAAACCTGCCAACTTGGGCTCCCAAGAACTGGGTTAAAAGCTGACATGGAAACTGAAATGTTGAGGCTCTGGAAGATGACTTGGAGCCAATGTAACGGTCAATAGAAGAACCAAAGGGGACCCTGGAATTTCAAGTCAGCATTGGGTCATCCAGGTGACTCAGAAAGTGCTTAAATCAAATTTTTAAAAGATTATTTAAACACAATTTTTTAAAGTTTTTCATACAGAATACTTGAACTCTGAAGCTGTATCTGTGGCCCCAGTTGAAAAACCACAGGAATAAAAGTAGTTCTCAAATAGGGCATAGGACCATTACCTTAATGCGCTATTTGCAAACTGGCACGGGAGCAGAGAGGAGTTTTAATAATACAAATAGATGACCTGGAGAGAGAGGGTACCATCATTTAGAGGGCAATGGCCAAGGATGCTCAGTCTGTGGGACAGTCTTGATAATTATGTCATCAACATGCCCTATGTCACTGTGAGGCTTCATTAGGGAGTGACCAACTCTGTCTTCTCTAGCACTGAGAGGCAGCAGCAAAGCCTTGTTAAGTCAGAATCTACGAGGACAGAAAAGACATAGGAAGACCAGTTGGAGGTTATTACGGAAGCAAAGGTCTAAATGAGGTGGGCACTGGGAAATGGAAACATTATGCAGAGTTATCATGCACAGGGATTGGCTACTGTCTAGGAGAAAAGTGAGCAGGCTATTCACAGCACTAGGGTGCTCCACAGAGGACAGAGGAAAACTCAAGTCATCGTGAGGTTTCTAAGCTTGGAGGAGAGGATGTACCATTAAACATAAACAGTGGAGGTAGAAATAAATTACTTTGGAAATAGACTTACATAAGTTATAGGAAACAGGTAGTCAAATTTAAGACATGTAAGAGCACTGGTTTTTCTTAGATGACTAAAAACAAGGAAAATCTGTCCTCCTACTTTTGGGCCATTCTCTACATAGACAAGCGGTCAAAACCATTTTTTAAAAATTGAAGTCTCTTTTATTTTTCCTGTACAACTGTACATGACCCCAGAGAATCACTCAACCTATCTCTTCAGAAGTTCCAGAACCAGCATCTGAAAAGTTCTTTTGTCAAGATCTGTGAAGACATCTCCCCCTGGTGGTCACAAGAATCCAGGATGGAAATTCACTTCTTTTAACTTGGGCTTTTGTCTTAGTCTCTAGTTGGGCTCCTTATTCCTGCCCCTTAATTTTCTCTCTAGATCTGCTATAGTGTTTTAAAATTCTATCAACTGTACTATCTAGTAGCCTATTTCAGGAACATGAAATGAAAGACACTAAATTGTTACCCACTGCCATGATCCACTGTGGTCTCAGTATTCCTTTGGTTTAGCCATCAGAAGAATAGGGTTTTGGGCGCAAATGCCCAACTTTGGATCCATAAATTCAGATTTAATTTCCTCATCAGTAAAATAAGAAAACTGGACTGAACGATTATTAAGGTTGCTTCCCACTCTTCTATACTCTGTTGTCTCCAAAAGAAGCCCAAGAGAAAAATATACTTTCAACTTTTATTTTCAGCCTATCAAATTCTTTTTGCTAATGATAAAGTCAGTCAGTAATTGCCACAGGATAATCCTCCTTAGACTTTTTGTTCCTCTACAAGGAATACTGCAGAGAAGAACTCTAATATTAGAAGTACTCTTAGAACAAAGCAGACTAGCTTTCAAGAAAATAAGCATGGATATATGGATTTCTTCAGCAAGAACAAATCCTTCGGGGGAAAGTGTACTCAGTGGTAGAATGTATGCTTAGAATGCACAAGGTCCTGAGTTTAATTCCCAGCACCTCTGTTAAAATAAAACAACAACAACAACAAAATAAAATAAACCTAATTATACCCCCCCTTTAAAAAAAACCCCAAAACAAAAAACAAGAACAAATCCTTAATTTGTGAGATCTGCCAAACACACATTTCTGCACCGAAAGGTTTGGAAAATGTTCCCTTACCGATCCACATATGTCTCGTCCAGATTGTTGAAACCCATTGTTGGGCTTCTGAGTTGATTTTGCACAGACACAAGATCGTTGCTTTCCAAGGCCTGGTTTAGTAAAGCAACAGCAGACAGCATTTCCACTGCAATCAAGAGCTCCTCATGGGCCAAGTAGTTCTGTTGGAAAACACATGGCAATATAAACTCTACCTTGTGTATGTGGTGGGGGCTCAGAATGCACACTTCAAAGAACAATGGAAAGTCAAAGATTTTGAGAACAGAGAGGGCTTTCTGGCCACCTATCTTTCACTGGCTTTAAAGAACAGGTAAATGAGCTTATTTGTATCAAGAGTCGGGGAGGGATAAATTAGGAGGCTACAGTTAGCAGATACAAACTACTGCATATAAAATAGATATACGACAAGGTTATACTGTATAGTGCAGGGAACTATACAAGATACCTTATAATACCCTAAAATGGAAAAGAATCAGAAGAAGAAAAAAAATATGTCTAACTGAATCACTTTGTTATATACCAGAAACGAACACAACATTATAAATCAACTATACTTCAATCAATCAATCAAAAAAAAATCCCAGTAAATGGCTTCTGGGTTTTCCTTTGATCATTTCAGGGACTGAGTTAACTACAACCCTTAGTTATGATTCCACAAACATCCACATTGCCATGGCTGACTCCTACTCCCAGCTATATTGGCTGCTTACAAGCTCACTCTTACCAAATTATTAAGTCAAGGATTAGATAACATTATTACTGTCCTAGAGTGAGGTAAGATTTTAGCATAGCTAACAGTTTTCAGTTTGAATTATGAATAAGGATAAGAGGGGAGACTTTCAACTAAAGGTTATAATCCCAGAAAAGTAAATCAAATTTTTAAGCCAAGAATATTAATTCTATTCTTAAAAAGTTAGTCTAAGTCATATTTTTATAATTGGGTAGAAAAATTTAAATGTACTCTAAGGTATAGATATTTGAAGAAATGTGAGGTAAAGCTTTAAGTAAAGCAAGTGAGGATTTGGCTTATTTTAAAAGTACATCTCAAATTTCAGAACATCTTCCTTCTTCAACATTCTCTTCCATTTAACTAGTTTATATTGACTTGGCTCAACTTCAAAAGGGTTATTTCTTCCATCACATTGAAGGAACAGAGAGGGAGCATGGGAAAAAAAAACAACCCTGATATCTATCTTTACATTTAGGATATTATAGATATAGTTAATATATATAATGTAACATTTATATTAAAATGCATTATAGCTTTCTGAGAAAGCACAGAAATCTCCCAGCAAATCGATTTTAGCTTAACAAAGTATAATTTTACCTTCCAAAGCAAATAGGAAAAAGGATTTTTTTTTACAGGAAACATGTAAGTTTTACCTAAACATCTTACATTAATGCATAAGGAAAGTATCAAATTACAAGTAAAGAGCAGAATGGAATCATTTGAGATTTACCACAAATATCTGAAGTGGTACACAGCCGAAAGGATAAGGACACACAGAGAAGAAATGGTGTGCTGAACCACTGTGGGCTGAGTACTGATTATTTGGGGATGAATGACCATGCTGGAGCCGAGGCAGCCTTGGACCTCACAGCTAGAGAAGTGGGGGACAATATTAAGAAAAGAACCTAAGTGAAATTTTAAAAAATAACTTATTTTTCTTTTATTACAAAATACAGTTGACCATTGAATGACATCGAGATTAGGGGCATCGACACTCCATGCAGTTGAAAATATGCATATAATTTATCGTCTGTATAAGCGGTTCTTCCATATACTGGTTCCTGCATATCCAAGGTTCTGCATCCTTGGATTCAACCAACTGCAGATGGTGTCGTACTATAGAATTTACTATAGAAAAAAATCCACACATAAGGGGCCTGCACAGTTCATACCCCTGTTGTTTGAGGATCAGCTGTAGTATCTTTCTGTTTATAAAACATAGTAAGTCTTCATAAGCAGGGATAAGAAAACAAATCCTACTGCCCAAGTTCTTTAATAATATAATAAAATAATAATAATAAAAGTGATACACACTTTTATTAACTTTTAATTTGTGTAAACATTCATAGAGATTTTGGGGTTTTTAAAACTATTTTTCTTTTATTATTGTTAAAAACAAGATAACGCTGTATATTTTAATCTCATTTTTCCACCTGATAGTAGGAAGTGTGATCTGTTATCAGTTAAACATGTGGTTTGTTTCTGGCTTCCCTGTATCACAGACAATGCTGGGAAACATCCTTTTGTGGCTACAACTTCCTGATCATCTTCTTTAGGCTTATTTCCTGGCAATGTAATTGTCAGGATAACGGGTAACAGCCTCTGATAAATGGATTACTAAGATCACCCTCCAGAAAGGTTGCATCTTTCTGGATGCATGTTCCAACCACTGTGTGGGGGACGCCCACTGCCCCAAACTTATACCTGCGCTAGGTAAGAGCTCTCTACTAATCTTGATCTCTGAAAATAACTGTATTTTGCTTTACTTTCTTGGTGGAGCAGTATTGCTTCTGATTTTTAAGATACGATGTCCTTCCATGTTTCCTTAGAACTTTAATTTTTAAATTATTTGCTGCATTTAACCTTTTATGTGAGAAATTTATTCTGATATGTATAGTGAGGTAATGTTTTCTTTCCCTAATGGTTAAACACTTGTAAGATTTCACTCCTTTTCCTACCTTTTCGAAACCCTAGCTCTTTCATATACTAAATTCTTGGCTCTGATTCTAGCACTTTTCATCCTGTACTAGGATAGAGCTCTTATCTACTATAACCTTATATGCTTATTACTGTTAGCATAGTAAGGGGCATACATTTACAAACATCAAGGCCACGGTGCTAATGTTCTTGGTTGCAGATATCTAGAAATGCAGATTCAGAGCTTATTTCTATATCAAAAAGGATTACATATTTTTTAAAAAAAATATTTCACTATAGTTATTAAATTATCCGAAGTTTTCCAAAAATCCCCCAGAGAATAAGAACAACCAGTTTTCAACACGTATTTGTCAGAGTGTGGCCGCATTTCCTTACTGAGCTCAGATTCCAATAGATGAAAAGCAGGAGTTAAAGAGGAAGGTGGCCGTGGAACTGGCACAAGGAGGCCAGTGAGACCAGGGACTGGCACAAGTTAAAGACTCTACACTCCCACTCACCTTTCCTAAACACCCTTCCTCACTGCTTGGACTCAGAATTCACATCTCTGTACCCGGAACCTCCTGTGACTTACCATGGCGTTCTGTTTCTGGAGGTTGAAGAGCTCGGTCTGATACATCGCAGCAGCAAAGGGATACACAGCAGGCAGCTGGGCCTCGGGTTTCTCCAGTGCGAGCAGCGTATTCTCAGGGTCGCCTTCTGGAATGACAGCGTTGATGTGGTCCACCGCAGCCAGCCCTGAGGGTGGGGACACATCCATCAGATGTCCGCTTTTCCCACCGTGGCCTGACCCAACCAGCCCATCTTTCCGAGGATTAGAACCTAAGCAGTCACTTACTGTGAACTCTGAAAAGCTGCAGTTGAATAGTAGGCAAAGGCTTGGAAATGGCAGCTTGTATTTGGAAGTCAGCCCAATCCTTGAAGCTAGTCCCCACAAGAACCTCACTACTGAGGGAGCTGGAGGTATGCGGTCATTCCTGTCTCGTGTGACTTCCCTACCAAATCCTTCCCTTCGGGACCAGCTTTGGTCCCGTCTCTTCCATGGAGCCTTCATGTTGTTCCAGTTCCTGAGGACTTCACACCTTGGGACTCCCCACAGTGTTTAGAGCTGGGCCATGTACAGCCTGCAGGCATTGCTCTTTAATGCTCTTGGTGTGTTCGTACTGCCTCCTCGAGGAGACTAAAGCGATGTGAAGACTAGAGCAAGACTTGCTCTACTGCTGTACCCTCCCTCTGAATCAGCACCGTGGGAAACCCCCAGGGGACACCCAGACACACTGCTGCTTAATACGGATGGTATTAGCTCTCCAAACATCCTCCCTCATCTCTTGTGCTCTGTAAAGTGTGATTCTTAAGGAAAAATAATTTCAGGTATTTTTTTAAAAATTACAGCCAAAATTCGTATGATTAAATAATTCTGTGTTAGTATGTTAGTCCTCCCTTATTCTTAGGGGATATGTTCCAAGAATCCTAGTGGGTGCCTGAAACCTTGGATAGTACCGAACATTTTATATACATTTTTTTCCTATCCATACATGTCTAAGATAAAATTAAATTTATAAGTTAGGTGTAGTAAGAAATTAACAACAATAACTAATAATAAAATAGAAAAATTGTAACTATACTATAACAAAAGTGGTCTTTCAAAATGCCTTTTTTTCTTCTTTCATTGTGGTGTAGTTGACTTACAATATTATATTATTTATAAGTGTACAACATAGTGATTCAGTATTTTTACAGATTATACGCCACAGTTATTACCATATGATTAACTATACTTCCTGCGCAGTACATTACCTCCTTGTGACTTCTTCATTTGATAGTTGGTAGTTTGTATCTTTTAATCCCCTTCACCTATTTCTCCCATCCCATCCACCTCCCCTCTGGCAACCACTAGTTTATTCTCTTTATCTATGACTCTTTCGGTTTTATTTGTCATTTGTTTTGTTTTTTAGAGTCCACACATAAATGAAAACATACAGCATTTCTCTTTTTTGGTATGATTTACTTCACTCAGCATACACTTTGGAGTATAGCTTGAAGTCAGGGAGCATGGTATCTCCAGCTTTATTCTTTTTCTAACGATTGCTTTGGCAATTTGGGGTCTTTTGTAGGTCCATACAAATTTTAAGATTATTCTGGTGCAGTGGAAAATGCCACAGGAGTTTTGATAGGGATTGCATTGACTCTATAGATTAGTTTGGGTAGAATGGACATTTTAACAATATTAATTCTTCCAATCCATGAAAATGAAATATCTTACCATTTATGTGTGTCTTTGTTCTAGGACCCACTGTGGATACCAAAATCTGCAGACTCTCAAGTTCCACAGTCAGCCCTCTATACCCGCAGTTCCACATCTGTGCATTCAAAACCAACCTCAGATCATGTAGTACTGCTATGTATTTACCGAAACAAATTCGTGTATAAGTGGACCCACACATTCAAACCTGTGTTGTTGAAGGGTCAACTGTATTTGCCTTTACTAGTGAGATTTCTTCTTCATGTATTTTCTTATTTCTTGTTATTGCCCTTTTTGTTGGGGGGTGCTTAAAGAAGAGCCTTTAACAGTTCTTGTAAAGTCAGTTTAACGGTGATAAACTCTTAGGATTTACTGGTCTGGGCAATTCTTTCTCTTTCAGTTCTGAAGGGTAACATTGCCTGGTAGAGTATCCTTGGTTGTAGGTGTTTTTTCCTTCAAGCAATTTAAATATATCATGCAACCCCCTTCTAGACTGTAAAGTTTCTGCTGAAAACTCAGCTGATAGCCTTATGGGGTTCCTCTGATTGTGACTCTTTCTCTCTTGCTGCCTTTACATTTCTCTCTTTAACATTTGCCATTTTAGTTGCGATATATTTTGACGTGGATCTCTTTGGGTTTATCTTGTATGGGATTCTTTGTGCTGCCTGGATCTGGATATCTGTTTCTTTTCCCAGGTTAGGGAAGTTTTCAACCACGATTTCATCAAATACGTTTTCTGCCCCTTTCTCTCCTCCTTCTAGGACCCCTATAAATGCTAATGTTAGTACAATGATGCTGTCCCAAAGGTCCCCTAAACAATTTCTATTTTTAAAATTTGTTTCTTCTTACTGTTCTGGTTGGGTGAGTTCCACTATTCTGCCTTCCAGGGTGCTTAGGTGTTCTTCCCTGTCATCTAATCTGCTGTTGATTCTTCTAGCATATTTTTCATTTCAGTCATTATATTCTTCAGTTCTGACTGATTCTTTTTTATTTTCTAATCTTTTTTCCTCTATTCTCCCAAATTCAGTGAGGATTTTTGATTGTTATTTTGGATTCTTTATTGGGTAAGTTACTGATCTCCACTTCATCAGGGTTTTTATTTTTTCACCTCCCCATAGAATTTTATCTTGTTCTTTCATTTAGAACATATTCCTCTGTCTTCTCATTTTGTTTGACTTTCTGCATTTGTCTCTATGAATTAGGCAAAACAAATCTCTCTCCCGG